AGCCAACCATTTGCTGATAACCACTAGGGTACACATTTACAAGACACACCACTAGAGTACACATATATAAGATAGGTTATGTATTCAAATCCATCTCTATGGCAAATATACGCTTTCAACAATAACAATGAAATCTATCAATAGGGCAGGTATTGGATATACTAGATCCACATCTATGACAGATATACAAGGTTCACCACTACTGTAAGTAAACAAAAGCCAACATTAGGTCAGTAAAGGGGATTCACTACTAGGAAAGATAATACAAGGCTCTCCATTTAGGTAAGTATACAAGATTCAACAATAGGGTAAGTAAGCTAGACCCACAACTAGGGTAAGTATACAAGATACCTCACTGGGTTAAAATACAAATATAAAATCTCAAGGGAAAATATTCAAGATCCATCTCTGAGGTATATATATACGAGATCACAACCATGGTAAGTATAGAAAATAGGTTTGAAAACAAGATTCACCACTAAGGTATGTATTCTAAATTCATATCAAGGGTACAAATGCGAGATACAAAACAACAACAAATATTCAAAATTTACCACAAAGGAAAACTCACAGGATCCATTAAAAGGATCCACAAATTAGTGCTGTGGACACTATCACTGCTAAGTTTTAATAGAAATTTCCCATTTCTAAGATACGATAGGCAGAACGGATGGCGAAACTGTCCCTTTAAGAAGTTGTGAAAATTGAGATCTATCCTTAAATAACGGAGTCTACAGTGCACGACTTGGACCAATTTGGATGAAATATTCAACCTTCAGTCATACACTTCTTTTGAACTCTTTTTGACAATACTAATATTGAGTATGAGTTATTGCCCTTGTTCTTGAAAACGTGTTCAATTTTTAGCTCATGAAAACTCTAGAAGGCAAATATTCAACATTCAGCACGATACTGAATAATAAAACCAAGTTTTGTCAAAAGCCGTCAAGAATCACACCTTTTAGTGTTTGAGAGCTAAAACTTGAAAGCGTTTTCAAGAACGAGGTCAATAACTCCTATGAACCATTTATGACTTTTTGGATTTTCAATAGAGTTCATCCTTCGATGATAATAAAACATTTCAACAAGTTTCGTCAAAATCTGTCAAGAATTGAGCCTTCTGGAATGTTTACGAGATATGTATTGCACAAGTTTTCAAGAACAAAGGCAATAACTCCTACTAAATATTTTAACTTTTTCTGATTTTCAATAGGGTTCATCCTTGGGTGTTAACACTCACACCAAATTACGTCAAAATCTGTCAAGAGTTGTGCATTCTTAAGTGTTCACGGGCTAAAAATTGAAAGCGTTCTCAAGAACATGGTCAGTAACTCCTACTAAATATTTTTCGAATTTTGTGATTTTCAATAGGGTTCATCCTTGGGTGATTACGAACACTCACACCAAGTTTTGTCAAAATCCTTCAAGAATTGTGCCTTTTAGAGTGTTTACAAGCTAAAAATTGAACGCGTTTTCAAGAACAAGGGCAATAACTTATACTAAATACTTGTCGATTCTTCTGATTTTCAATAGGGTTCATCCCTTGGGTGATTACGAACACTCATACCAAGTATCGTCAAAATCCGTCAAGAATTGTGTCTTGTGGAGTGTTTACGAGCAATTGTGGACGGACCGACATTCGTGAAGGCAATATACGCCCCCCCCCCCCCCCCCCCATTTCATGTGAATGTTTAAAAAGGCACTAGTATATATTCCCTGTGCTTGGTGACCGAGCGCATACGGATAGTTTCAGGACAGCTCAGTGTCTTGACATTGTGCCCTCATTGCTGTGACAAAAATTACCTTGTTCCCTTGTTACTGTGACCAAATTAACTGGTGCCCCATCGTGTCCAAACAACGCCCCATTTGTGGAACCATGTCAAAACCCATGTTCGTGCTGGTGCGCTTATTACTGTGACTAAAATACCATGTGCCCGTATCACTGTGACCAAAATACCATGTGCCCGTATTACTGTGACCAAAATACCATGTGCCAGTATTACTGTGACCAAAATACCATGTGCCCGTATTACTGTGACCAAAAGACCATGTGCCCGTATTACTGTGACCAAAAGACCATGTGCCCGTATTACTGTGACCAAAATACCTCCATCCGGTGCCATGTCCCCCTCTTTAAACGCCACTGTGATTGCATTTACTTGTACGGTATCGGTCTTGTGATTTACATACTTTTTGCATTGCTAAATAAATTACTGAAAACGATGACAGTATTGACCGATCTATTAGAATTATTCTTGCCTTGGCGGTATCAAATAAATAAATTTAGTGTTGTCTATGAAGAACATTTTAGTGCATTCTAAGAATGACAATAATATTTTGAGGCTGAAAAATTAAAAAAAAACTACTAGTGGAATTACTCGTCAGCCAGCTTGCCAATTTTCGGCTGACTGAGGGGTTGTATCAGCTGGCTACAGCATTGAGCAAATAATATCGTTCGCATTAAGAGCCACTTATACTAGATGGTGAATGATTCTCTCCGACTAAGACTGGTCGGTTCCATAACCAAGAATCGTAGACTTCTAATGCAAATTGCTAAATTGTTTGCAAAGAAATTTATCAACTAAAATGCTAAATTTCAACATTGTAATCCTGATCAACTAAAATACAACTACAAGACATGTGGAAAGTTTTTCTTTCTTTGTGAGAACTTGCTTTTATCATACATTTCCATGCTTCAAACCGAAATGCACCGAGTTGCAAAACATGGGTGAGCAGTATGAATAGTATCTAAATTAGGTTGTAAGAAATACAATTTCAAAAGAGTCTTTAGCTGAGTATATCTGGATCCATTATCTGGACTGCAATTTAATTTTACTAACCAGTCCCAGCAAAGAATTACAAGTCATGGCAATACTTGATGTTGTCGCGAATAGAGAAGATCGTGTTCATATTCAGAACATCAATTGAACTGCTGATGAAAATAATAGGCTCAGATCGACCACACTTATAACTATCTAAACTAAAAGAATTTGATGGTTATTAGATATGGGATTCCTTTGGAGCCACAATTCATAAATGGTCTTTCCTTGACTTCAGAACATTATCACGAAGCTATAGAAATTCGCTGCAAAAGATTTGGCAATGAACAGGCCTTAATTTATACAGTTATTGCCCTTGTTCTTGAATTTTTTGTGGACACAATAGAGAGCTGGTTTCTTGATGGATTTTGACGAAACTTGGTGTGAGTGTTTGTAATCACCCAAGGATGAACCCTATACAGCCGTCGCCCCTGTCTGTCTGTAAATAAATAACTGTCTTAACACAAAGATTTGCCACTTGCTGCCACTCAAAAGATTCAATTCTATATGGATTAAATGAAACTAGTTAGGTTAAATTAATCCCACTTGAATAAAAAGCTGTAAACAAAACCAACAGCTGCCATTACAAATGTGGGCGTATTACGATTGCATCGCTATTTTTGGTAAGGGATGTAGGGCCGGTGTGGTCCTATATTTTTCTTTAAATGATATTATTCGCAAGTTACCCCTTGCAATGTCCGCAGCCCAGTATAAATTCTGAACCCCCACTCTGAGAGTAGGCCTAGATCGATATAGACCATAGAGTTATTATAACAGAGCAGTAATTTTCGAGTATAGGCACAGTTCGAATATTTTTCCGACCCCGCGACCGTAATGTTATGTGAAGCCTTTTGAATGTAAAATTATTTTTACTATCTATCGTAAATTTTCAGAAAATTAAGTTAATGATTTAAATCCTTTTGGTAAATTTTGGTCGTAATATCAGCTATATTTGGCATGGCTCTTTAGATTTCTAAAAAGTAGTATGATGAATCAGCTGACCTGCCAGCTGAAGAAATACCAAGATTTAGGCTTTTACATTAACTTAAAATGAACAAATCGGCTTTACACCTTAAAAAAGATCTTTATTTCGTGAAATTATGTAGCCCAACATCCTTCTTTGTACGTCGAAAGGAATAAGTTTGTCTATCGATGACCGTCCATTATAAAGAACGGAACATCCGGGTATTCACGGTAAAACTACCTGGAATGGTAATGGTCACGTGATAATGCTGACTCTTAGTTTCTATATAAAACTCTTTGACAATGACGTAGCTTTTGCTCGTAGGCTTGATTACAACATTCACAAAAATAGAAAAAAAATTTAAAATTATTTTATCAAATTCAAAACTATTTTTTTCAAATTCAAAATTTCAAAAAGATGTCGTATTTGAATTTCCATATCTTACTAACAACTGGAAATGTTCGTGAAATGTTTTGAATTTTATCAAGGAAAATTCTCTTGCATAGTTTTCATGTTTACATCCCCATTTGGTTGCATGGTTTGAGAACTTGTTTGTGTCTGGTAACATTCGGGTTCTTATACGAGATTTGGCTAGCTTTGTTATGTTCGTGTAACAAAGATCTCCCATCCGAGAAGCTGCTACTCGACCAGCATGGAAATGAAACCAAAATTTACTTGAAGCCTGAGCCTGCTCCTCGGTGACAAACCGTAAACTGGGTGGGGGGATCAATCAAGTCGATACAATTAGAGTAAATGTAGCTACGTTTCGGGACTTATCCCTTTATCTAGCGAAAAAAACAAAAATTTCATCGTCATGGAACCTTAGCACCTGCAGGGACGAACAAACAGTTCTCATATTTAAATTAGTTTACATATCTCATTTTTCTGTGACCTATATCTTTAGAGTTTATTATCTCCCTGAATGTTACATTTTTGTCAGTTTAGTGAGGTTTTTTTTCGCTTGATAAAGGGATTAGTCCCGAAACGTAGCTACATTTACTCTAATTGTATCGACTTTTTACCCACTGTTTGCACGTTATCGTGTGATTTATTTTTTCCATCAATATAATATCAGGTTTTCAGGCAATTAGCAGTCTATTGGGCATATCATCCCGAACCATTTTCGATATTGTGCAAAATTTAAAAAACAAATATGACGTCATGGTAGCCCATTTGATAAAGCTTACTTATGTAAATTAGGTTGAAATACGTCAAATCGTATGAATATATAATGATGCTCAAATGATATACAATGTAAATTGTGCTACGTAAGAAGTACAGCGCACAAAGCGATGTATTATTGTATTCTTATATTGTGATCGAAGCATTGAGTGAGTATACATAAAAGTATACACCAATGTACAAAATGTCTGAAGTATTTGCTTTTTATTTACTTCTGCTCTTATTATGTTACTAACATGGCAACTCTCTAGTTTTATAGATGCATTGAAGCATATGATTATTATCGCTATGAAATTAGCCGATTTAGCCAGAATGCCTGTCCAACACAACACTATTCACGAGGTGTTGTAGATCGTTTACTTTTCTGTTTATTCTGTGTTCGTTTACTTTTCGGAAATCGACCTGCTGGACTTGGCGATTTAGTTAACTGGCGTCGTTGCTTTCTTAGTTCTATCTCTTGCACATGGACTTTAAATTCAGGAAATAATTCGGCGTATTCATCTAGTAATGGCGTATAAACAAATTCTTTAGAGCCCACAGTTACAGGCGTGACGTCTTTCAATATGTGTCCATCCTCCAATAATTCCTTTTCCACTAAAACATACGTGGTATGTGAAGATAAAAATTTTGATGCGTAGTCCTTTTTGTGTGCATCTAATTCTTTTACCAAACCTAAAATATAGAATTACCCATCATTATTAATATTTTGAAGTGAATTAATTTCATTTGTATGCAGATATTACCAATATCATGACGTCAGCGGTCATATGTGACGACATTCTTTTATACACCCACATGGAAATGTTAGCTAAATAAGATGAATGGCTTCGGGGTTGTTGCCCTTGCCTTAGTAAAACGCGTCAAATTTGTAGGCACGACAGGGACTACAGTTTTTATTTGATCTCGATGAAACTTGGTATGCATGTATATATATTGATGAGATCTCAATCAAGTTCGAAATTGGTATTATTCGGATGAACGATTTCGGATTTACTGCCATTGACTTAGTAAAAACTTGGCTTTATTCTATCTTTATGAAACTTGGTATGTATGTATTGATGAGGTCTCAGTCGAGTTCGAAATTGGTAACGATCGAATAAAGGGTTTCGGTTATTATCCTTGACTAAGTAAAAACTTGTCAAATTTTGTCTAGTTCCTTGCCCAGTAGACTTGTGGTGCCAACCTTATTTATCTTTATACGCCCAAATGGAAATGTGGACGTATATTGCCGTCGCCCCTGTCCGTCCGTCCGTCCACATTTGTTGTATGCACGATAGAGGCTACAGTTTTTATCTGATCTTGATGAAACTTGGTATGCATGTATATATTGATGAGAACTCGATCAAGTTCGAAATTGGTAATAATCGGATGAACGGTTTCAGAGTAATGGCCCTTGACTTAGTAAAAACGCGTTAACTTTGGCTTGTATGCACGATAAAGGCTGCAATTTTATCTGATCTTGATGTAACTTAGTATGCATGTATGTATTGATGAGATCTCGGTCAAGTTTGAAGGTAGTAATGATTGGATGAACGATTTCAGGGTTATTGCCCTTGATTTAGTAAAAACCCTACAAATTTGACTTGTAGTCATGAAACAGGGTGCAGTTTTTATCTGATCTCGATGAAACTTCGTATGTATGTATATATATGGACAAGATCTCAGTCAAGATGAAATTGGTAATAATCTGTGAACGGTTTTGGAGTTAGTGCCCTTGAATTAATTCAATGCATCTAATTTGGCTTGTAGACCTGATAGAGACTACATTTTTTATATGATCTTGATGAAACTTGGTATGAGATCTAAGTAAAGCTTGAAATTATTAGAAATCGGATGATAGGTTTCACATATTAAACCACTACAGACTTTGTTATCATTTCTGACAGCTGGTAGTGGGCGTATGTTACATTGCCTGGCAAGCTATCTTTTATATTTCAGATAACCTCACTTACATGGCAAAAGAGCCGGAGCTATTAACCCTTGAGGATCGTATATCGCTAATGACAAAACATCTCTACCTCAGCAATGTTAACCTTAAAAGAAGGATGAAAAGTACACGTTCTATAACGGGATGATTTTGGCAAAGAAAAGGATAAGTACCGTCTGCACATTCTTGTTCTTGAATAGAATCAAGAGTTATACTGAAACATGTGTGGCACAAAGCGGAACATCAAATGTTTGTTGGAAATCCCCGATCAATGACCTTTTGCCTTGCATTGGTCAATTTTATCTAAGGCCAAGGTTAAAAATTGACAATCAACATCTGCGTTTTAACACAAACGGATCGGGGCATTGAGGTATCTGTATGCTAAGTTTTAATTTGAACAAATCTATTCCATACGAATTATGCTGCGACTCTAAATGTAAAGTGTAAATTGGAATTAATCCGAATGTGCAACACTTACCCAAACTTTTTGTCACAGAATTAATTATATACAGTGGTGCATATAAGGATTCAACACCGAATTTCGTCAAAGTTAAAAATTTAAGTTTATATTCTACAAAATAATTAAAATTGGTTTGTTTTGATTTTCTTTATGAATCCCTCACTTTGACGCATATTTCTAGAGTAACCAACTCGGCAACGGCGGCAAAATGCGTCACCTATTTTCGTGTACCATGTTCGATCTATAAATAAGTCGAGAAAAACGCGTTGTTTGGATACCCAGTGGTATAATAAACTACTCTTAGTATTTATCTTTAATATCAATTCATTATAACTAATGACAAGTCCTTCAAATAACCAAAAAAGTGACTGACAAAATAAGATACGTAGCCTGATTTATTGCTAAAAGTCATTGAAACAACATAAGAATATGGTCCACTTTGTGTTCCATAGGATTTTTCTGCGGACACGGAATCCGCTAGTTGATCACGTGACTTCGTTCGTTGGACTACATTTTAGCAGACAACACATGGAATTCCGATTACAGCTAGGGATTATAAGGAAATTCGACCGATAAAAACTTGTGACGTTTGGTAAAAACTGAAATCCTCCATTTTGTATTTGTCAAAGTAGACATTAATACAGTTTACCTTGCTTGAAACTACTGGATTCATTCTTTCATTGACATTGAACTGAAAACCCATGTTAATCAAAACAAGCAAATGCGAGGTCGCACAATTATTAATCCTTTCCGGAAATGCACGAAAATTAGGTTTATTGACTGGACATAATATGCAGATTGTGAGATGTATACATCAAAGAAGCGAAAAAAGTGAAAAAGTCACTCATAACAAAATCTGGCCAAAGCATTCATGTATCTGTAAGCTAAGTTATTAATTGGAACAAATTCTATTCTACATGATTGAAAAGTGTACCCCGGATGTGATGCCCATCCAAACTATTTTGTCATATCAATTAGGCTCGAAATTAGGCATCAAAAATATTATCTCTATGTGAGCGTATAAAAAATATTAATACTTTAATTGTCCTGGTTTCGGTTTTTGTTGGAAATTTTGGTATTTGATGGAAATTATTACAATAATCCAAATTTTTAAATTGATTGTTGTATGCCTATAGTTTAGTATATAACTAATTGAATACAAATTTAAAATCAATAGTAAATGAATATTTAACAAGGTAAAAATGTTGACGCCGAGAATGCAGTCGGAAATAAATTTCTGAAATTACATTTGGACGTTATATTTTATGTTTTAATATTATATGTTATAGTCCGTGTCACACCGAAAAATTGTCCTGAAAATTAGCCCAGAGCATGTTAAGGCCGACATAAGGGTGATATAATCGCCTCTGAGATCGACACGGATTCGAGAATGTTTTTGGATAAGCGTCGTGACATCTAAAAAAAGCAAAAAAATAAAGTATCACACCCACAGAATTTATTAGTAAAGCCGGATGTCCACTTGAGCTTTTTCTGCGATTCTTCGTGAGAGACTTGTAAGAGAGCTGCCGATGCCCCTCTCATTTGAGAGTAAACAAAATAATAATTCATTTAAGCAAAATAATATTTCGTTATAACGTGATAGTTAATTCGATTTAATGAAAAAATATTTTGTTTTAACGTAATAATTAATTCGTTTAATCGAAATAATTAATTAAAACTAAATATTTCGTTTAAACGAAATATATGATACTCTTTCGCTCTAACGAATTCATTATTTCGTATTTACGAAAAACACTGAAACGAAATAATTTTAAAAAGTATTGAAATTTGCGCCTAAGGTGCTCCGTACGGCCATAATATACACATTAATGAATTAATTTTAAATTCATGAAGTATGCCCACACATTATCCTGACTTTTTCCTCCTGACATGGTTGCTGGTCGGAAGACTGCGAATGACTGTGATATCACGAAACTATTCTGTAATATAATACCAGCCATTATTGTATGCCTATATCAAGAAATTGAGGTTCAGTGACAAAGATATTACTGATATAGCACGGTTTGAGATGCTCGCACTCAAACAGGATGTGTTTTACTGTCAGGCTAAGATGGCTGTGCTCACAAACTGGTTGAGGCTCTCTCTTAAGCAGATAACAGTTGATAAGTGAGTGACTAAAACGAGAGCGACTCAAAACGACTTCACAATAGATGGCGGACCAGTCAGGTTTGATGTCAAGAAGTTTGTAATTAGTGTCTGAAGCATCCCATCGATGTTGAATAAAATCTTTAAGACCGATTTGAAATCGTTGTAAGGCAAAGAAAAGGGAGAGACAGGCAGTGACAAAGCAGTTTAAGCCGCAGCACCTGCCTTGCCATACTCCCATACATGCGTATGCCAGCAAAAGACTATGTCCTTCTTTGGTTCCAAATAAATATCCCCGATTGCTGGGTGTACAATCTGAAAGATTTTAACTGCTTGTAGTGCGGACAAATAAAAAGAAAATACAAAGCTGGGGTTCATGATAATAGAATACTTAGTTTTGGGTAGATGAGAGGGTCCCATGGACGACAAGGTGAGGAAAATCTTAATGTGGAAAATGGTGAAACGAGAAAAGTCAGCCTCTCGAAACTTCCCTTTGAGGGTCTTCCCAACAAATAAAACTCATAAAGTTTGTTGCTGTTGAGGTTCATTGCATAAATTATTAAGAGTTTGTTTTTTCGAAAAAGTAAGAGAATGCAATTTTAATTTTACTACACCCATTTACTCTTCGATATTTATTTTGGAAAGTGATTTTGTATTTATGTTAGGAGCTGAATAAGAATAAGCCAAGCTTGTTTTTAACTCCATCTTCATACAGCAACATATTTGTTATCCGGTTATATAGTTATTAAAACATACCTGTTTCGTCAGAAAGGTCCAATATCTTATTTGTATTAGCAAAGCCTGCCCTGGACTTAATGCTTGAGAGTAAATTAATCACAGCACTATTTGGATTGCACAATAATGATTCATTATTTCCATATTTCACTATGATATACATGTTTTTTTCCTTTAATTGAAAGTTTAAAATGTAGATTCTATCCTTATCATGAATATCTTATAAACATTAACTACCCTACTGTTTAATCTCGAACGTATTTGGATTTAAGATTATCGTTTATATTGCCCTACTATACAAGCCACACTAGTCTATTGTATATATTCTAATCTATTGACAGGTTTCCTGGCTACGGTAAATGGTGACAACGACTCTAAGCTATATATCCACATAATTATATTTGTAAACTGATCATACGAGTCAAGGCCATTTACATTGTGTTTTTCGGTTGGGTTAATTACCAATTTGAGCTACTTATTTCCGTTAGAGCTACTAGTTTGAGTTACCTATCATTGGGACTTTTTCTTTCCCATTTGGGAATAAAATTCTTTTAACACAATGTATGCATTTTCTTTAAATAATACATACAACTGCCAGTTAAGGTCTTGATCATAATTATGATTATTATGCAGCTGTGACGGGAATACAGCGTTAATCATTAAAACAATCATAAACCAAAATATGAAAATGCTGATAAAAAAGATTTTTACATTTCAATTATGAACAATGGATTATTAAAGGTAAATATATCTTTAAGTAAATTTCAATTGTGTCTTAACAAAGTTAATCTGATCTACCATTGAACCGGCATGGTATGTAACACCTGATAGTATTATTAAATGCATGAATAGTTTGATCTAAGAGACACCGACTTATAAGCTGTCATTTTCGGATCAGCCTTTTATTTCATTATAAATAGACTTCGTCTTCGTCAAAAGTTTAGTAATATATCTTTTTGTTATTAACAGCCAAATACATATAATGCCAACTCAAATATGTTATATACGATATTGGGCCAAATTAACATTAGTATAATTTCTGAGCTTTTCCTTACTTGTGCATTCATAAATTCTAAGAATTTGCTTTTTTGTTAGATTTGATTAGGCCAGGTAAGGTAACATACGCCCCTGCCAGCGTCAGTAATGATAATATGTATATTAATATAGTGGTTTAATATGTGAAACCAATCATCCGATTGTTACTAATTTCAAGCTGTACGCAGGTCTCATACCTTCAAAAAACACGAATAAAAAATGTAGTCTCTATCAGACCAATTATTACCATTTTTTAACTTGAGATCTCATCAATTGTACATGCATACAAGTTTCATCGAGATCAGATAAAAACTGCACCCTGTATCATGACTACAAGCAAAATGTGAAGCGTTTTTACTAAGTTTACTGTTTTTCTTTCGTGTAAATTATACTCCGAGATAATCTAATCCATACTTTTAAATTACTACTCGGGTATAATCAAAATTCAAAGTTAGTTCTAATCAATTTACAATTCACTAATCCCGCTTATTTTATCAAATATTTCTCATGTTTATTTATTTTATATTTTTGTTTTCTGTTTTTTATGTTTTTCTTTTATGTTAATTGTACTCAGAGATAATCTAATCCTCCTGAAGTATTACTTAGATATAATCAAAATCTAATCCAATATTTCTATAATCCTCAATTGATCAAAGATATGACTCAACTAATTAAGAAATCAAAAATAATCCTAATCCTCAACTGATCAAAGATATGACATGATTCACTCAATAATTTTTAGAAAATCAAAAACCTGTATTTAAGTGTATGGAAAGTCAATTATGGGCCACGTGACGCCTACCGTGAATGTTTCTATATATCCTATTGTATCCAATTCCAATCTTATAATCGATAATTAAGATACATGTATAAGTAAAAAAAAGACGATTTGTGTTTAATTCCCGTTAAAGATACCTGTAAAGAAAACAGTTAACACGGCTTTCCAAAAGACGCTGGTATGGGCCAAATTCGTACAATTGAAAAGGGCTGACTTCAAGGCGTTGACTGAAAACTCTCAGTCTGTTATTTATTTCACTAAAATATTCTAAATTGGAAAGTTTATATCAAACACTAAACTCATAAATGATTTAAAACTATCATTTCTTAATTTAAAATATATTTTGAGCGGATTTCATATTATTTCAATTATTTGATCAGAAGGTCTACTTTCACTTTATCATTAATTGGTAGGCCTATCCGATGTGAGTGTTTTACCAATTCACTTTGGGAATGTAGGGACTCATGATGTTATGAAAATTACCTATTGTCTTTAAAATAAATTATGATTAAGTTACATATATTATAAAATAGTTTTAATCTTATAATGACTTGTTCCGTATATCACTTATAAAATGAGTGTGAAGATAATAACGACCCTATTTCTCCACTATTACCCCATTCATCATGGAATATCTCAAAGACTAATCAAGATATTTTAATTCTGTAAAGGTTTTCATCGAGAGAAGATATGAATATTTTTAAGCGGGCGATTTTTAATACAAAATGAACGCTACGAACCAGTCATTATAAATTTATTTCTGAATCGATCTCCATTTTCATGAATTTCGGCAGTGTCATCGTCCTGGTTTGGCCTTTCACTGTCAGTCATCCCTTCCCGAGGACGCCTAACTGGCTCGAACTGGTAGCCCACCACACCCCAAATATTTCGTATTCATCTTCTTCGTCTTCAGAATGAGATGAACTGTGAGTGCTTGACGAATCGTTTTCATTATAATACATAACACCCGCCACATTGTTTATCTGTCAGTGTAGCGTTCCCAGAAACCACCGCGTCAAGTCCATAATTTACGTCACGCATACATTAGCGTACATTCGGATATTTCCGGAACGTGCTCGTGGTTTTCCGTACAAATCATCGATTTTCCATCAAAATATCACTTTTTCACCCTCACGAATTTTTTTTCCGCGAAAAGGATAGTGGCATTAATTATTCATCAAATACAAAAGTACACCATATTAAGACTTTCCATACTCTTTAACTGACTACTATATAAATCGCAAATTTAATCTCATTTCATAACCATTCCTTGACACTTGAAAAAGGATAATACTTCGAAAACAGGTTCGTGACAATTGCATAAGTTTTTGTTTTAGTTGTTATAATTTTTCAAATCATTGTTAGCGTTATTTATCACCTAAATATATATTTTTGCATTGTTCATCATAACTTTCATCTTACTTTATATATCCCCAAACCCAGTTTGACTTATTTGCTTAATTTGATCCCCACATCTTCACGCTAGCATATACAGTTTCCTCCTGTCACATCCGCTGTACATTCCCTTTCTAACCTCAAGTTATTGTCATAATTTTCCCCAACTACAACAACCACTGGCAAGAAGCCAGACATAGAAACACTAATCGTCAACCAAACCCTACAACGGCCCTGTCTTACATCGACCTCTACCACCTACCAATCGCCGACCACCAACCAACCCATCCAGCTATATCCCACCCCATGTCCGACCTACATACAACACGGCCTACCAACCCAGAGGTAACCACCGACCTGACCAACAACAGAAACGACTACCAGCCCCCCGACGCCAACCAGTCCCCACTCATCAGAAGGAAGAACCCTTTGTGAAGCTTCCAAGTTTTGTTCCATCATTTGGCAATCCTTACCCTTCAACAGCAAGGCCAACCAGCGTTTACCTTCAAACGCATAGTCTCTGAGTTGGATCGTTTTATCCGTCCAGCAATGAAAACATCAGCTGTCGACACGAATATTAGATCCCCCAATCGGACATGGCTCTCTAAGGATACGCAAGTCCTGATCGACCATTACCAAAGCACCCCTCAAGAGAAGCTGACCACCACTCGTACCGAGTCCTCTATCCCCACCTGCCGTCGACCGCATCGTTTCTCATGCCCTGTCCTGGGCCCGCCGCTCCTATGGGAAACGCCTCACTCAGGCTGTAATCACCAAATTCTACCAGACAATCAACGAAACCAAAACCAGAGTAACCATATCTGTACTAACTGAAATGGACACTACACCTGCACCATCTAGAGTCACCACGCTACCGAACTAAAGCCTAAATTTTACCTACGCCTAGTTCAGCAGACATAGGTAAACGCTCTCGTAGAGAAGGCACTCTCCTTCTCTTTTCACTTTCAGACTCGTCTTCCCCTTCCACGCCATCTGAATCTTCACCGCGTGATCCAGGATCCGACAACCTTTCTTCCTTCTGTGCTTTTTGGACCAGCAAACCACCCCTCAGTCTCCATCCAAGTCGAGACATTTATCCCCCCCCCCCTTTGAACCAGATCCCAGTCTGTTTCCAATGCTACAATTCTAACAACTACCAAACCAGTACCAATCACCCCGTCGACAACCATTATATCCGCTACCAAACCCTATTGTCACCAGACCAAGGACAAATCATTATGAAAGCTACCTGCTCTAAATAAATCTACAATTAAAGGATCATCTAACATGAATCGAATTACCAAAACTAGTTAAGACACTGAAATACATTCTTACCCCGGTGCCCAAATCCATCACATAAAGTCAATCCTGGAATCATACGACCATGATCCAAACCTTACTATCGTTATTCTTTATGTAGGTGATCAGCTACCAAAGACCTCCTTTAACCAATCTCCGAAATTAATCGCTACAGCCAACAAAACCTTCCCAAACTCAAAGATCCTCTTCACATGTATACCCATCTCAAATAAATTCTCGAAGAAAGCACAACGGAACCTCAGCACCCTCAACAACATGATGATTGAGTCCAGTATCAACAGCGCAAGAATCTTACCACCCTACGTAGAAGAATTCGGATACACCAGCTTCAAGCATCGAGTAAGTCTTTAAACTAATTACTGGGGATAAAAATACTGAGAGGGCACCGCTAGGCCAAACTGTAGTTAACTTGAGCCGCAAAATTCTCACACCCCCTCAGCATTCAATCTTAGACCGTGGACTTAAGTTTATTCCCACACCAAAGATGGCCAACCATCCATTGAACGATTTCAACGAAACCTTAGCTGCACATATTTTTTTCGAAACCACCCCCACGTGGTGCTAGAACAATGTTTATTCCTAAATCCACGTGGACACCCCCTCAGGCCGCCATCCATCCTGAAATATTAAAAGCATTTGCTAGTATGAATAGCCAAACAACGAACCTTTCCATAACACACGAAAAGCCTAATCTCACACGAGTGGAACGTTAAACTTACTTAAGAAAG